GATCAGTTCTCACCTCCTGACTTTCCTTCCTCAGAGCTTTCTCTGCTTGGTATCTCTCCAGCAGCTCCTCTCGCTCAGCTTTCTCCCTCTCTGCCTCCTCCTCCCTTTCCCTCAGCTGGGCCTTGCAGTTAGCCAGCCCCTCCAAGACCCACACGAATGTGGGCACCAGGGACTCCACCACACCTTCACCATGAGTCTCAATAACATTCTATAGAAGGGTAAAACAGCAGAAAGGGAGCCCAGGTGTTTCACTACATCCAAATAATATTTTTACTCACATTTACACTGAAGTGCTCAGAGGTAGAAGAAAAAAAAAAAAAACCAATACTTACTTGTAGTTCTGCATAAAGTTTTCCTGCCTCCTCACTCACAATGTTTGGATCCAGCTCCACCTCCCCCGTTCCACACAGCACTTTCTCGCTGTAGTCCATCGGCTTCTTCGTTTTTGAAATTCGGTATAATTTACTGCAAAACCGTCCTCCAGATTTGAGGCCAACAGTAATTTCTTACAATTCTGTGGCAAACATGCTGGAGTGGACTTCCTTACCAACTAATAAAACTAGTCTAGCTAGCTCTCTGACATTTCTGTTAACACTGGCACCACCCATTTTTCACAGCATTGGGTTTGTTTGCAGACCAGTAAATGGAGCATCCTCTCAGAGGCCTGCCAGCAAACTCTGCATGATAGCTGAATGAGTTTCAGAGCCCATCCTGAAAAAAACAAAAAACATAAAGTGATTAGTACTTTTCTTTATATTATAACTTGTAAATAATAAGTCTCTAGTTTCATGACCACCGGACAGTTAGAATGCTTGTATTTTAATTTCTGTTTTACTTTATCTCGTAAATATCCAAGTCCCGTTTGGTAAAATAAATTACAGCAATTTTTTTTCAAACAATATTATTAGAGATGATTTGTCTTTTATAAAGCAAGAGAACATGCAAACTCAATGCATAAAGATTTCAGGCTGGGATTCGAACCCAGGACCTTCTTCATGCAAGGCAATGGTGTCCTCCTCACAGCAGGTCTCTCAAAGGAATTACGGGTTCATCAGGGGTCCTAATCTTTCGTGGTTCATGAGAGTCTGCTGGTATATCGAGATTAGGCCCAAAATCTGAGAGTAGGACATAGCATGTAGTCTTCGGGAATGTATTAGCAGCGTGTTTAATTATGCCTGAGAATTTAGTTTTTTGCTGGGTAATTTTGCATTTATTTTCATAATTTAACAAAAATACCAAACAACACAGAGACATAAACTGATATACCTTGCTTAAAGTACATAGCGACAAAATGGGTGGGTCTGAACTGAGAAAAATGATGGCACTGAAGGTGTTGGGAAACTGAGGACTTGCTACTTACAGTTGAATTATAGGGCAAACCTGGCAAGCAAGGGCATGATGGACAGCCTAAACAATAATTTGTGTTACTTTTTTTAATTAACACGCTCATCCCTATTATTATTATTATTATCATTCTTTGTAACATTTATGATAGAAATATACTACACACCAGCTTCTTTGAGAGGATTTAATTTTGTAGAGGTCATGTAAAGCACTGACTGTAGAACATGAGAAATTTATCCTCTTTACGCTTAGGATCTACTGCATGCCAAGTTGTTAGCCAATAGCTCTGATTAGACACGGTTTTTCATGGATTCAGAAACTAATTGATGCAAAGGATGAAATAAAGAAGGCAATATTCCCTAAATAAATTCATGAATATAGGCCGATTACATTTTGAGTTTAATGTTGACAAAGATGAAGGATTTATGCAGTTTTGAATTAAAACTCAGTAGCATAACTAAAAAAAAGGACAGGAATCATTTTTAAGAAACCATAAACGTAAATCAACCAACGAATGGGATTTGTGCAATTATAAAAAGCCAACTCAATTATCATGCCTTCTTCTGTGAAATATAGCCACAAACAGATTTCAGAACTTTACAAGATTAATTTTAAATGCAAATAGATCAGCAACAGGTTGCATCCAGCAAAAGACTCATGTTATTAACATTATTAGTTATTAAAATAAGAGCATAAATAAGTCCAGTCTGAATTGTCTTATGTCTTGCCAGCCTGTATAAATAAATAAAGTGACTGACAGTGGACACCTTGAAGACCGTTGGCAGCAAGTTTACAAAGTTGTCAGTTGGCCAGAAAACTAGCCGAATGGCTATCATGCTCACTCGTCTAGCAACAAACTTACCTCCACCGACGATTCTGGGTTGATTTTTACTCTACAACCGAATATCACTCAGCTGTTTCGTGCGTTTTAGTCGGAGACGGTATCAATTTCTGAAACCAGTTTAAAGAAGGGGGTTGTTGTCCAATTTTTGACGTGCACAGACATGTCTTCTGACTGTCCAATCAGAGCCCCGACAATGTGGACCGTATCCAATGGGATTGGAAAAGGGGCGGGATATGTGTAGTTTTGTTTTCGGAAAGAAAAAAAAGGTTTCCTGAAACTTGAACGATGACACGTGACTTGAGGAGTTAACAGCGGGTTGTCAGGTGATCCTGGTGAAGCCTTCCCAAGCCTCATACCTGCTGAAATACCTTACATGCATGAGAATAAACGAGTTTTCCCGTGTCGTGTTGAATTGGAAAATGTTGGGACTGAGAACGGCGCTGGTGGAAATATTCAGGTGTGAGCAATTTTGAATGTGTGTCTCAGTAAACAGTTCTGTAGCGTTATTTTTGCAAAATGTTCAACATTACAATACACTTAAAGTCTCTATAAAACAATTTAGCAAAAGATATATTACTATAGATATAGAATGTGAAGAAACATTCACTGCAAATTAGAAGATGAAGTTTGCTTTTCCTCCAGCAGGGGGAGATACCAACGCATTTTTTATCTGAATCTCCTTGCTGCATGTTACTTCTAACTTCTGCTTTTTGCCATGATATAAAAGATGAAAGATATTTAATTTTAAGAAATTCATTATATAGAAGTATTATCTTTATATTGGTTTAACAATTATTTTCCATTTAAAGAGAAAGTCAGAACTGTTTCTAATTAAATATTTGTTTCTTTTAGTGACAGAATATATTATCTTGACTTTAATATGCAAACTTTTTACAGAAAGAATTTACTTAATTAAACAAAGTTTTACTACTGTTAATTATATTTACCGATAAGCTGATAATTTGATTTTTGTTTTAAAAATCAATCACTATCATTGATTAGATGTACAGTCCCACAGACCATTTGCCTCCCTCAGTCCTGTGGGGTTGCTGTGCATTGCTCCAAATCGCCATATTCAAACCCATCCACATAAGTTCTTTAAGTAATGCTAAGGTTAAGAATTTAAACATCACAATCTACATATTAAATGAATGCTAAAGACCTCACTTATACCTTCATTCTGACATTTTACTGTGTTACATCATTCGTACATGCTTTGACAAATTCATACTGTTCATTATACATTACATTATAACATCTTCATTCTTTTTTTGGTCTCTATACTGATACATAAGCTTTTGTATTGTAAAAAAAAATGTAACCAATGACTAAAAATGTGCAACTCAGAAGAAATATTCTTTAAAACTTTATAAACCTAAAGATAATGAGGTATAAAAAAGAACATTATTTTAGACAGACAAACAAAGATCTTAAAGCGAATGTAAAAACAAACTAACATATCAGATAATTCATTGCCTACTCCATATTTGGCGCGATTGTTGTTGAGAACATTTTACATGTGACATTTCCAAACACAACATAGCTGGCATTCTCACAAGGAAGAAGAAGAACTGTTTTAAGTTTATAACACACTAGAATTCGAGTTTGCAGCAGGAAGTGCTTAAAGTCTTACACAACAAAATGTAACACTGCATCCTGAATTAAGATACCATCATATTGTGAAATAGGACTAAACACAAATTCTAACTATTTTATTCAATGCAAATAACAAATCCTTTTATGCATTAAAAGATTTTATATTTTCTGTTTAAAATTACCTTAAAGTGAATAAAATTAAAATCGAGTAAAATAAATGTATATGTTTAATTAGTATGAAAGCAGTGCAGCTATATTGAGGTGTCATCAGCAGTTAAGTTATTATTTTAGGTGCAGCCTCAACAAATCGGTATTACCGTTCTGCACAATGTTTTCATGGGAATTGGCCGCCACTGTGATGTGCACAGCATAAGCGAATGGCTTTGCAATGTTGTTGGCAAATTAAACTCACTTAAGAACTATGGACTATATTTAATCATCTCTTTTAATCTAAAATACTTAAATTGGCCAAAGCCAAAGTTTCTAGAAATGTGTTGAGATTCATAAAACCTCTATAAAGTTTATCAGAACAACAAAAGAGTATAGTTTTGTATTTATTTTGACCTCCCAGTGAGATAAGTGTAGAAACTGGTGGGCGAAGGCAGAGCTGCCTACATGACCAAACAGGAAGTGTGGTGTGCTGTTAATGTGGGTTAAAAATGCTCCAGATTTGGAGCAGGAAAATTACTGTTTGTACATTTCTTATACTCAATCCTGTACGGAGGAATTTGATAAGCTCACAACAATTTCCGCCATAGTGCTGCTTTATACAGTGACTTTTTTTATAACTTCACCTTCCCCAACCAAAACTTGGTTTCCTTCCCTTTTTTCTTCTCGTCTGATACCTCTCTTCTTCTTCGTCAGGAGGTGAAACATGAGCACGCTGGCCATCACCAAAAAACTGAGCACAAGTATCACCAGCCCAAGCCCCAGCAAAGTCGAGGTCCTGTCCTTAAGCTGAGCCAGCTGGTCCCAGAGCCCCACGGCCAAGCAGCTCAATCCGATGAGAGTTCCCCAAAATCCGAAGGCCAGGATGCAGGACCTACAAGAGAGTTCAACGCCCCCAGTCACCACAGTGATGCCCGCCACCGAGACCACTCCACTTGAAAAGGTAACAGTTTCAGGCTGACATTGGTAGGAGACGGTTGGAGGTGTATCTGGTAAAGCTGAAGGATCAAGGGTCTCCATCTTGGCTGCCATGGCAGGTTTTTTTTTATTTTTTTTATCAATTTCAAGGCAGATGAGAGGGATCTCACTGTAACCTCTTCTTCTGTCCTGCACATATTTCACAAAGCAGAGGCATGTAAAAAACAACTTCTTATCCACTTATCTTTTTTCAATTTCTTTACATGACTTGGTAAGATGCAAATGGGAACATAACTTCTTTCAATCTTCTATGTGGGCCATATTTGTGAAATGCCCAATTGATATCTGTCCTTTTGGCAGACTCTTCTACCTGAACAATGGATCTCTGCAGCTCCTCCTGAGATACCACGGCTGCTTTTTTGATTAATGCTCTTACACTAACTTGAAGTTTTTATTTTGCCTTTATTTTACCAGGAAATTGTTTGGGATAAAATCCATTTTTCAAAAGAAACCTGCCTGAAAGGTACACTGGTGTACAGTATACATAATAAAATAAATAAAAAAAAGTTCAATCCAGTTTTGCAGCACTGTTCCTACTAAGCCGATGGATCAAACTATCTTTGAGACGTCCGAATTGTGGGATATGTTTTTTTTATAACCTAGTTCTGCTTTAAACTTCTTCACAACTACATACCTGCTGTGTTCCTTGGTCTCCATAATGGATACCAAGGTATCCATTATGGATATATACAAAGTCCTGAGTTGTATACTAAAGTATACAAATCAGGACTCATTTAGCCAAATAGAGGACTTCTGGAGGTAACTGGTTGCACTGGATTTTTTTAAGGGTATCACACTAAAAAGCTCTGAATTCAAATATTTGTCAAAAATCTGAAAACCTTGAGTCATTTTCCTTCCAGTACACATCTAAAAATTACTTTGTGTTGGTTCATCGCATCAAATTACAATAAATTAAATGATGTTTGGTTATAACAAGATATGAAAGGCCTAAGAGGTGTCAATACTTTTGGAAGACACTGTAAGTACATATTATTGTTTGCTTTCACAGTTTGAGAGTTATAGCTCTTCCTTAAAGCTATAATATGCATTTTAAATAGAAGAGAAAATGTTTAAAGTAAATTAATAATATGAAGTAGATTGTTATTCTTTACTGCTGCTTTTGCAACATTTGTTGAGAAGGTGGACAAACATTTTTGGCATTCTTCAGAAATCTTGGAACTCAACTAACATTTACATTTTTGGTAGATTTAAAAAAAAAAAATACGATAACAAGAAGAAAACGTCTTGAGCTTTAATTGAGATCTGATGCTAGTTAATTAATAAAAATGCAAACACTTAAATGTCCAAATCTTAATTCTGGCTTACATTTTCTTGATGTATTGGTTTAAGTTGCATCTCTTTACATCTGATCTAGAGAAGTGTGAGTTAATTCATCTGGAAACTCAAATTTTTTTTAGTTTATTATTCCATAATCCAGACCCAAAATAATAAAAAAAATAATAATAATCTTAAGCAAACAGCTAAGTTTTATAGTCCATAAAAAGCTCATCTCTACTTACGTCAGTATTGAACTGGGAGTGCAGAAGTCAGTGGAAGCTACGCGGTAAAGTTCCCATATAATTAACACTAAAAATACTTTTAATATATAGTCTACTAATAAATGAAAGCCTGCGGTTGCTGCTGCTGATGTTCTCTCTCCACCAGGGGATGTAGAAATGGGAGGCCCCAAGTCTGCACAAATATTCCCTGCTTGGGTTCTTGGACTAAACTGTGGACAAAGTAATCAAGATTGTAGCTGTAGTTTGTTTATTCCTCTCCTTCCTTGTTTTGCTAGGAAGCTCTCGTCTGTCATTACCTGTCATTATGACCCATTAACAGATATTTATCTAGAAACAACTCCCTTCCTCTTTTTCTTTTTCTTTCAGCTTAAGATATGAGTCAGGTCCAACCAAGGCATTGTATTGGTTAAGAAAGAAGTTTTCTTTTCCCAAAGCATTGTCCAGCTCAGCATTCACACTCTGCCACTTACGCCAATAGTTGTGACGTACAGATATTCCAACAATACATCTAAAACGCCTCTGAAGTGTTAAGGGAGAAGGGGGTTCTGGATAAGATTTTCTTTTCAAAATTCCATTTGTTCCCATTATTAGTTCAAGTCAAATCTAAGCAGTTTTAAGTAGGATCAAATTTACACGTTTTAATGTGATTTACAACTACAGGGAAATAAAGAGAAATGTGTCAGAGTTAGGTGGACAAGATCATCATACTAAATGAATGTGTTTGGTATAATGATCAAACTTATTCTTTGCTATATGTTTGGTATATTATGTGTATAGCAAAAGCAGGTTACGATATAATAAATAAAGAAATGTAACAATAAGTTTTCTCCCGACCCCACTGAGGGACAAGGGTGTTCAGAAAATGGATGGATGGATGAACAATAAGTTTTTTACATCAACATATATCATAAGTCATTTTATGTTGTACTTGGCACTGTTTGAGCTGTGGACACTCACAGATGTTGTCATTTTCTAAAAAAAATTCTTTGCATGTGGAATGACCACACATGCAAAGCGTTTGAGCAGCTTAAAGGCAGGCACCACAACCAACAGCATGGAGTAGCTGTTGTGTTGCACTATGGGATTTGTAGTTAATTTGTAGCTCATGTGAGCTATATAACTGACTGTTAGGTCATTAGGATATATGAAATGATCTTGCTTGCCAGACGTCCACAAGCCTTAACCTCTACTTATGTAAGTCTTATTTGATGGGGATGGGAAAAAAAACATACTTCACTAAAGACTAACATGGTGCACCAATGTTCCAGTAATGTTTTGTTCATATATATATATAGCTGACTGTATAGCTCAGTGGGTAGACACCAGTCTACCACCCGGGAGACCGGGGTTCGAATCCGGGCTGGGGCGAGTACAACAGTGCAATTGAGCTATGCAGTGTGGGTCCTTAGGCAAGACCCTTGGAGCTATATAGCCTACCTCATACCATGAGAGACATTGATATGCATAACATGCCGGCTCAGACGTCGCCCGGCCAAACAAGTGTTTGGCAGGGTACTAACAACAGAGCAGACCCACCAAGAC